ACCAGTCGTCTCTCAGCAGCAGCTGCTAGTTTGTGTTTCCTTCCTGATGGTGGCAGTAACACAACTGGACCATGAACTTTATGCTGACACACTGATGGTTCTGGATCTGAAGCTGCTCTGAAATGGCTCCAAGTCACTTTCTTGACTTGTTAAAGTCAATAATTTGCTTTTTCAGATCTTTGCTGAGCTCCTCAGACGTTCCCAGACAGATGAGTCAGCAGCTGTAGTCAATCGTAAGACGTTAAGAGGTCATGACACTAGAACATTAACAGAACTTTCTACGTCACCAGAACTGATCATTTAAGTTGCTGTTTGTCATATTTCCAGAAGGTAAAGACTCGTGTTCTAATGAGTCCATCACAGAAAACTCAGAGTTATACGAGTCATTGGAAACTCAAGACTGACGTAACATAGATGATCTTTACAAGTGGAAGTAAACTTTATGTGCTTTAACTCTTTCTGTAGCTCCTGATTTTACATTCCTCTGCTTAACGCTTAATAAATCACATCGTAGAACCACATTTAATGGGTTAAGCTGAAAAAGAGAAAACATTTCTACCATCAGATGTAGAAGCAGAAAGTAACCAGTGTCAAATATGGGCATTAAATAATGTAATAATGAATTAAACATTTAACTGGCATATTTTCTGCCAGGTTTATTTCTTGTTTCTGTGATTGTAAATGTGTTTTTGTGGTCCACATCGTGCACTTAATTAAATATAAATTTAAAAAAAACAACAAAACAAAACAAACAAAAAAAGGTTGTAAAGTATTTTACTACAAAACAACAACATCCTGATTTCATGCATCTGTATCTTGGACAGCTGTGTTCACGTCAAACACTCTTTTAGTTTTGCTTCACGTGTAAATAAACGCCGGCGTCCAGACAGCAGGGGGCGCTGCAGAGAGCCGCTACACTATTAAAAGGTACTTTCTTCAGCATTGATTGATTTTTTTTGGTCAATAAATGTTAGAAAATAGTAGAAAAGTTTACATATTCCAACCCTGTTCAGTTTACTGTCGCAGAAGACGAAGAAAACCAGCAAATATTCACGTTTGCGGAGCTGAAAGCAGAACGTTTACTGCAGATTTATTCAGCAGAAACTCGTGTATCCACACTTCAGTGTAATTATCTGTAATGTTCATGTTTAAAGCTGTAAATATTTTCAGTCCGATTAAAGTCAATGTGATTTTAAAAACATGATATTAAATATACGTTAACGGTAATTGAAAGTGCACTTTGTTCGGTATAAATGACTGTAAATATGCATCTATGGAGACGCTGTCGATATTTTTTTATGTCCAGTATTATTTCACATTGGAGTCTGTGAAGATGTTTCCTCCCTGTAATGTATTCTGTCTTCTGTATAGTGTTCTAATATATACTGCACATGTTGTAAAGGAAGATAAAACGTGTTCCTCGTATCCTCGTGTGATGTCTGACTGTTTTCTGGTTGCACATTCAGAAACACGAAAAAGAAAAAACGTTCCTGTTTTCCGTTTGTAGCCACGACGGCACCGCGACTGAAATGTCTGAGCGTTTGTTCAATGGATTTCTGTGAAACTTTCTACGAAATCCCCAAAGAATAAAGTCCACAAAAGCAGCTGTTCCACATCCCACTGCATGAGTCCAGGTGATCCCAGCCTGATTAAGCAAACATGCGCTGGTCAGACGTCATTAAGCGTCACGTTGTCATGGTGCCCCTTTACGACTTGAGCTCAGTAGAAAACACAACAAACATATCTGCATGTTAGCTTTTAAATTAATAACAAACCTCTTCCAGAACGGCACTATCGAGTTGTTTCTGCTCATCGGATGTATTTAAGTCCAACACTCAGACTCTTTTAGCTCCGTTTTTGGTCTCCACCACCTCTTGAGGGACACGTTTGACTCTTTAGCTGCTCAGCGCTAAACCACGTTTGATTTTTATCATGAAAAACGGCTAAAAACGAGGCTATCTGAGCAGTCGGAGTGAAGCCAAACAGTAAAATTGCAGTTAAGCAGCCAAACAATGGGCTGAAATTCTCGAAGAAATCCCACAAAGCAGATTACAGTTGCTTCAAGGACTACAAATCTAATTTAGTCCCATTTCTTGCCTGTCGTGCTGTTTTACTATATTAAAATAATCACCAGCAGAGACACCTTAACGTTGCTAATTTAAATCTGCCTTTAGGCCACAAAGACACTCAGAGTAGCTTCTAATTGAAACCGGTGATTATTTTTCTACCATTAAAATTAAACAACAGTGAGCGCATTGCCGATCTTCTGTTTGCTAAATGATGAATTCGTTGCCTGAGGACGGTGATGCTGCAAAAATCTAAACGAGGTAATTCGTCGGTTTGTGCCTGAAAGATGAAATTAAATGGAAGTATTAACCCGAGCAGCTCGTTGCTGTGAGATATGGCGGCTTAAGTGTTGAACAGGAGCAGCTTTATGTGGATATAAACACACGTCTGCTGCGATCGGCTCATCGACTGAGTTCTGATTAATTCTTCACAAGAAAACCGAGCGCATGAAGGCCGAACGGAGCCCCGAGAGGCGCTGATGAAAGGCGCTATAGTTTCCTTCCTACCTTAAGGTCACCAGGTTCAGTGTTTAACCACCACGTCGACCCACCGGGACGCGTTTTCTATCCGATTTCTTCGGCGCGAACGTCAACAGAACAACCCAGCGGCTCTCGCGAGGCCCTTCGGGAGAAAACCTCCGGCCGACGTACGTTGACGTGAAACAGCTGAGGAGGCGCAGGAATGCCAGGGATGCTGATGTAATCCGACTCCAGAGACCCCCGCCGGCCTCGACCCCCTGAACCTGAACCAGCTCGGAGTCCGGAGGCTTCCCGAGGTTTGCGTAGGAATTATGTCCGTGAAAGCAGGTTCTCAGAGAAAACAATCACAACGGTCAGATAGCCGTACGTCCCTGCAGCCGTTTATTTAGCTTTGCGATGCTGCGCTAACACTTGGTGGAGCCTCCAGGGCAGTCCTTCGAGTTCCTGCCAAGCTTTCGAATTTGTTAGTTAATATTTCCAGAACATTTGCTCAGGTTCTGTACCTGATGTCAGTTTTAGGAAGGGATGTCCTGATGGGATCTTGGAGATGAGGACCGAGGTCATTTAAGGCGTTTGCTTATGTCTGCTGTCACACAGGTGTTATAAAAGCAAGAGCACAATTTATGGCACATATTTTCTTTAATCTGCATTTTACTTGGCTACAACAGCAGCAGCGCTACATGTAAATATAGAAACACTGATCTAGTCTTTCTATTTAACACGTAAATTCTAGTCGGATGTAATTAAACACCACCGAAGTCATGGTGCCCCTTTTATAGCTAAACTCCCACAATGCTCTCTGCTGCCAACATGAACTGCCTGTCGTCTCAGTGACGCCTCCTCTGGTCTCTACGGGATTAAACAGTGAGAGGCTCCACCTGGTGGAACAACCAGGTACTACAGCTAGTGTACAATATTTAAAGTATCTATGAAAATGGCATCAGACTGGGACTTGCTGTCGGCATAAACTAAATACTAAATGACTCAGGTCTGATTGAAACACTCAGTTTAACGATACTTTATTTTCATGCTACTTCAAGGGTTTTCCTTTGGCAAAGACAGAAACTGAAGGCATCAATGCTATGAAGCAAAATATTGATTATACGGTAAATTTAACAAGTTTAAACAAAGCTAAATAATAAATAAAAGGCCAAACATGGCAAACATAATACTTTATACACTATTTAGCAAACGTAGCACGGTAATATGTCACTAAAAAGTCAAACACTTAAAATATGACACCTGCTAAACAGCCAATTTGTGTTTTTGCTGACTGGTAATGCTAGCATGCTAATATGCGGCAAACGTGGTAAAAATGGCACCTGCTGAACTGTACCATGCAAGCAGAGTCACTGTTAATTAGCAAATGTTAACATGCCAATATGTTAATAAAAGGCCAAACATGGCAAATGTTACACTTGC